GGAGCCGCCGGGCGCCTGTCCTGCTGCGGGGCGCCGGGAGCTCGGGCGGACCGCGCCGGCGAGCGCCGAGTAGTTTTGCGAGGAGGGAGGCGCCAGCCTGCCCGTGTGGGGACTGAGGAGGGAGCCCCAGCCCCGGGAGAAGGACGGCTCGCCCGCTCGCGGCTGTCGCGGCAGCGATGTGCAAGTGCGTGGAGCGGTCGCCTGCGCGTGCACGCGTGAGTCCCGTCCTCCGGCCGCGGTCACGCCCCAGCAGCCCCGCAGACGGCGCGATGATGATCGCGTAGGAGGTGGTCACAGGGATGCTAACTGCGGAGCCGGAGTTCGAGCCCCGACGGCCCGGCTGCTGGGGCGAGACCCCGGCCACTGGCCGTCAGTGCTTATTCGGGGCTGGGGGAGTATGTCTCAGATTAGACCCGGGTTGGGATTCGTAGGTCGGGATTTAGGGAGCCGTAGGCCGCTTCCCACCATTCCTTCGTGAGCGCCGGGGCTCGGCCGTGGCGGCGGAGTGCAGACCCAGCAGCCTGGCGCGAAGCGTCTCCCGTGGAGTGTGCGTGGCGCCACTGGCAGGGGCCTCAAAGCGCGGATCGCAGGTCCGGGGACGCTGCCCGAGAGGTCGCCTTGCTGGCGGGCTCTGTGATTCTCGTGCTGTAGTCTGGGGTCGCCACTTAGAGAAGCATTGCCAGGGAGGAGGTGGTCGTGGAGTGGGCAGTCACGCAGATGAAAGCTGCAGTGCGAGCCGGTGAGCAGGCCGGGGCGCCTGAGAGCCCGTGACGGGGACCCTTGTGAGAGCGGCCTCGAGTTCGCGTCCGCGGGAGTCGGGTGAGCTGGAGTGAGCTGTGGGAGCTGGCCGAGGAGGACCGGAGGGCGGCGCGCGCAGGGCCGGGGTGGGGAGTGCCGCGTGCTGAGGCTGCCAGCCGTGGCCTGGAGCGGGCAGGTTTGCAGGGAGAAGCATCGTGGGACTTTTTTTTTGCCCCAGCGCAGCAGGAGTGTCACCTGTCAGCAGTGTCATGGAGGACCTCTAAACGTCTGTCTTCCACGCTGCCCCGGAAACAGCCCTGGTGCAGGGAGAGCCAGGCGCTGAGTCTTCGTTGGGCCGCCTTTCTCTCCTCTCCGTGCTTGCCGCTTCCTGGAGCCCCTGCCCTCCCTGCCACAGGCACTGCGTCTGAATTGTGCAGGCGTGGGGGCGGTGGCCGTGGCCACCCCACTGTCAGACTTCACTGCCCTGGAGTTAGTTCTTGCCCAAGCTCGTTCCCCCTGCCCTGTGGCATTTAGGGAGGCAGCGCAGGTAGCACCTCACTACCCTGTGGATTCAGTCCCAGTGAGTACTGCAGAGCCAGGTGCAGACCAAGGTGGAGAGCCGTGGGCTGGGGCCAGCGTGTTTTTGTGCCTTAGCCGCAGGTGCGTCCCTCGAGGTGTGTAGTCAGGTGTGCCCCGCAGCTTTCCTCCACCGGTCCCAGCCACAGGCAAGCACTCCAGCTTCTCAGCGGTGGATGCACAGACAGGACACAAGTCCTGAGTGGCTCGGCGCTGCTCTGCTCTGGCTTCCGCTCCCACGCGTGCCTGCCGTGTGATTTGACACAAGCATTTACTCTCTCTGTGACTGTGGCAGAGCTGCTCATAGTGAGGCATGTGCTGCGTTCCTTTTTGTTCTCTTTGGAGCTAATGATTGACTTTTTAAAATGTGTTTTGTGCACTGCCTCACGTAGCTCCACACGCCTGGCCCAGTGGCCTTGGCTTTGCCCGGGATCTAGGCCATTCCTCTGCTGGCTTGGGGCTGTGTGGGGAACAGCTGCGGCCTGGCGCCCCTGCCCTGGAGCTGCCCTGCAGGGCTGGTTGCCTGACCTCCCGTTTCCCTCCCAGTGTGGGCTGGGGCAGCAGTGAATTTTGAGGCTGTGGAGAGGTGTCCTTTCCCCTTCACTTGATGGATTGGTGGTGCGGAGTTGCAGAGAAAAGTCCCTTCAGGGTTTGGAGGAAGTTGGTCATTTCTTCCCTGGCTTCTGGCGGCATGGCAGTGGAGAAGTTTCAGGCTGCTCGCTCTCCCAAGAGGACTGCAGGCTCTCCCTTCTGACCGTCCCATGGCTCTGCTCTTGCTAGGACTGTCCCCCCTTGTCCTCTGCGCCTGGTGGCTGGGCTGTGCCCACACCTGCCAGGAGACGAGCACACGCCTGCTTGCCCGCATGCATCCTGCTGCCAGCTGTGGTTCCCTCGAGGTGCTCTGGGGCTCTCCATGTGCCAGGCACCCTCCCTCCACCCCACTGCACTGACCCGAGCTATAGGGGAGAAATCCCACTGTTCCTGGCGGCGGCTGCTGCTGCTGCTAACAAAGCCTGCCCTGGGGGAGGCACCTGCGGCCTGGTTCAGACACCCACGGCACTGGGTCTTAACGCTGGGTCTTCCCAGCATTCGAGGTACCTTGGAGCCCTTGCGGCCCAGAAACAGGTATTTGTCAGTTCTGGGATCTTCTCCGGCTGCTCCTTAGTTATTTCCTCCTCTCTCGTCTTCTCCCCGGGACTAACGTGTGTTCATCTTCTGCGGTGTGATACCCGAGGAAGCCAACCTTAATGGACAGGAGTCTATTTGGGTTCAGGGATCAGCGGTTCCAGTCACTGGGGCCTGCGCTTGTGCTTTGCGCCTGCAGTAGCCCAGTGTGTCCTGGGAGGGAGCGCATGGCCAGGGAGTGATGCACCGAGAGCCAGGCCAGGCCCCAGTGGCCCAGCTTCCATGGCCCAATCCAAACTGGAGCACTACTCCTACAAAAGGAGCTAGTCCTTCTAGCTCCTAGTTTCTGGTATTTTAAAGTGTAGCTCTACTTCCTAGACTCTCCCTTGTCTTTGTATTTATACTCAGCTAGTGATTTAAAATTGTTTTTGCTGTCACTTACTTAGAATAGTGTTCTCTGACTTCTAACAATTTCTTTTTCTCCATCTCCCCTTTTCTTCCTCTCTTCTCTCCTCCCCGCCCCCAAGTGCTTCTCCTCCTTTCTTTTGTGGAGCTGGGGATCGATCCCAGGCCCTTCTCACTGAATTACATCCCCAGCCCTTTTTAGTTTGTGATCAGGATTTTGGTAAATTGCTAAGTTGCCCAGCCTGGGCTTGAATTTGCAATTCTCCTGTCTCAGCCTCCCCACCACACCTGTATTCTGTTAGTGACCGCTTTGCCTGATCACCGAAGCCACTTTCCTCCAGCTGGCTTCTCTTTCCTGTGGAGGCCCCCAGATCCTCTGCTCCTGTTTCTGAGTGGAGACTGGGAGCTGCGTTCCCTGCTGCAGCCTCCTGGCCTGGGTTCTGTAGGTCCCTCCCTGGCGTTGGGATGAGACCTCCGAGCAGGGTAAGGAGAGTGCTGCAGGCCTAACCATCCCAGGTGGGCCCAGGCTTCCCAGTCCAGAGAACAGAACCTGGGCCTGGCAGTTGTCCTGCTTCAGCTGCCTGCTCACCCATGGGCACGCCAGGCCAGCCAGCTCTTGGCCCTCTGGGGGCATCGCCACGGCCCACATCCATCTCCGCCTGCATCCCTTGCCTACCTCTTCCTCTTCCACCTCCCAGCAGCAGCTGGTCACTGATTCTCCGTTTCCTTTTTCCCATTCCACATAGTTTATTCCTTAAACATGTATGCACAATCAAAGCAAAATCAAGAGTTAGTGGGGTTTGGAGCCATCCTCTTCCCACGTTCAGCTCTCCAAAGCTAGAGGTGCCCTATCAGGTGATGTTCACGACCTCTGTGACCCCTGGGTTTTCACTGAGGTGACATGCAGGCCAGGTGCCTTTCTGTCGCTGTTGCTCTGCTGAAAGGAGGAGCCACGCCCGAAGGCACGGGGAGCGGGGAGCGGGGAAGCTGGCCTCACAGTAAGGCTCCAGGCTCTGCACTCTCTGGGCGCCATGCTGGTGCGAGGTTTGCCCTCGGAGTCTGCCTGACCCCAGCGTCACTCGCGGAGCGTTGCCTGGCAGTGAGCTGGATGTTGCCATGACGCCCACAGGCTCCAGGGAGCACAGCAGCACAGCAGGCGGCCTGGTGCTGCCCTCGGAGTACCCTGTGCTCCCCATTGTCCACACCGCTCCCAGACCCACCAGGGCTCCTGCTTGGCAGCCGGGGCTGGGCCAGACCTGGGGGTGGTTCTGAACCTTCAGCCTCCTCTGCTGAAAGAGGAAGCCATCGGACCCAGGAACCTCTGCAAGATTCCCCTGTTGCTTCTGTGGCCCCACGGCCCCGTGCCTGCCGCTCTCTTTTGTACGTCCTTGGAACTTCGTGGAAACATTTGGAAGTTACTGCCGTAGTCACTCGGTGCATTACCTTTAGATACCTCA